GGCCCATTCTATACTAGGACCACACGGTAATTTTCTATAATAATCATACATTTTAATCACAAGTAGCTCACTGTGTTACATAAAAAAAAAATGTCAATCAGCTCTTACTGCTTATTACCGGTACAAAATAGGCCACCCCTTCCTTTCCCGTGGCTGTTGTAAGAGGCGACTAAGCGAGGGATGGGAAGCAAGGTCTCTCTTAAAATATCTTTAAAGCTTAACTGCGGTTGCTAAAACCACCTGCCAAGCGTGGTAATTACTAGCAACCCCCCCCCCCCCAAGTGGGAGATCTATTTTTAGCAGTGGATAGTTAAAGGTTGATATGATAACCAGTATATTAAAATAATCTTAAGCAAGTATTTTAATCCACAATAACTTCCAGCTCAGTAACCAGCAATCCCATATCCCATATACCATCAGTTCGGCCTCCACGCGGTTCATCTTGGCGACCAATCCTATTTAGTTTTAAATTCGTCACGATGGATCGATCGCTTTTATCAGCTATCATCTTTCACTGGTACCCCGCCAACGTAAACCGATAGCGCGGGCGGGGTTACCATACCATTATTGTCCCTAAAAAAAAAAAAGAACTTCCAACTCGTGTCGCTTATCGCTTGCCCCGCCCTCTTGTATTCATTGAGCATTGCTAATTACCTACCCACTGTTTCATTCGCCTATCGCAATGCCTTCACTTTCCTAATCTACATACCCCCTTATCCCACCCCCGTAATTTCATCGTTTTTTTTCACTTATTTTTATTTTTTTAGCATAAATAATCAAATCACAGTCGTACTACGATTGCTATTTAAGAATTTATTTTTCAGAAATTTATATTTACGAAATAATTGTTTGTGAGAGGAAGGGATTGCGACTACACCCAATTATAATTGGATAAATTGCACATTTGAAATAACGAAGTGTTATCCGTATGTGTCGTACTTTTAATGAATTTTCAGCTAAATGTCCTCAAATTGATATATTCAACTCACGTCTTAACACCTTCAAAAGCATTTTACAATCAGCCATCAAGTCTCTTTGACATGTCCATATTTATTTATGTATTTTTATTATTTGCATGTACTTCACTGTTATTTACAAAATTCATACGCTTTCTTTATATAACTTTATAATTTAACATTGTTTGCCAACTGCTTTAACCATGCTGCGTGTACACCTGTCTGGGTCTCAATCTAGTTCAATCTATTATCTTTATGTAATGTCTGTCATGTTATTGATTGTAACCTGTTGTGTATACCTTTAATAATTAAAAAAAAAAGTGGAAAATTCTGAATTCGAAGTTATACATACAAACAATTACTGGTTTTTTTTTAATAGATGACAATGGAATAGTAAACCCGCCTGCGCTATCGGTATACGCTGGCGGGGCCAGTGAGGGATTGTAGGTGAGAATGAAAGAGCAGGTCAGTTAGCTAATCGTGATGAATACACCTAGAATTCAGCACGATGGTTGCCAGAAGGACCACGGGGAGGTCGACCTGATAGGATATATTGGGTGGAAGAGACTGTTAGTAATGTGGACTACCAGTCCCATTGCTAGCAATATACCCTTTCAGGTCGATCTCCACGTGATACTCTCTGGAAACCATCGTGCTGAATTCCAGGCGTATTCATCACGATGGGCTAACTGATCTGCCTTTTCATTCTCACCTATCACCTTTCACTGATGCCCCGCCAGCGTATACCGTTGGCGCAGGCGGAGTTACCATTCCATTATCATCCAGTATAAAAGAAAATTGGACATATTGTTAGCAATGGGACTGGTGGTCCGTGTTACTAAAAATCGCTCTCACCACAGAAGCGGGGTTTTTTTATGGGTGTAAATGGTATGGTAACCCCACCTGCGCTAACGGGATATGCTGGCGGAGCACCAGCGAAGGGTGATAGATGAGAATAAAAACAGGCAAGTTAGCCCATCATGATGAATTCATTAGGAATTAACCATGATAGTTTCCAGGAAGAACCGCGAGGAGGTCGACCTGGTTGGGTATATTGCTAGCAATGGGATTCTCAGTCTCCATTATTAACAATCCCTTTCCCCCCAGAATCGAGGTTACTTATCTATTATCACCCGTTAAAATAAACTAAAAGGAAAAATGGAAAAATCACAAGGAAAGTCCCTCACGAAACGAACCGGGAGAAAGAGAGAATTTGTACAAAAATAATTTACATGAATATTAATGTCTCCCTTTACTATCATGGTTGTTTCGGTTTGACTGGAAGAGTAGAATACGGCAATAAAAGTGTAGAATACTCCTCTCCATCCAAAGGTTGCCTGGAAGAGATCGCTCTTAGCGATAAGGTCGCCCATTTTTTTCTCATTGTGATTATTTCTTGTAATTGTTCATATCTATAATAAGTTTGCTATTGTAATCTTTTGAAGGAAACAGTAAAGAGTATCTATCTATCTATAATATTATTAAAAAAAAATTAACAGAGCTTCTTGCCTCCGGTCAAACTGTTTATAATTACTCTTCTCTATTCAAAGGTTGTGCGGAAGAGATCGCTTTTAGCGATAAAGTCGCCCATTGTTTTCTCAGTGTAATCTTTTCTTGTAATTGTTTGTATTTATAATAAGTTTACAAATCTTTTGGAGGAAATAATAAAAAGAATCTAGATAGATACTCCTTTAGATACTCCTTATAATAAGTTTACTATTGTAATCTTTTGGAAGAAACAGTAAAGACTATCTATCTATCCATGCTTGCTTAGCTTGGATAACTATCCAAGTTTACTTTAACTGTTTACATAAACTATTTACAGCTGAACATAGTCCCTATAAGAGGGTCTTTGCTACTAGCAGTTAGGCTTTGATGGATGTTTAACATCTTATTCTTTAGGAATGGTAAAGGAGAGGAATCATAGGCATTGAAGCTTTAGTTACTACTTTCCATTATGTAGGCTGACAGCTTGATTGCCGTTCTGTTTTAAGTCTCCTCTAGGGAATATATCTTCATGGCCGTAAGTACTTTGGGGAAGCGAGATTAATAGGCAGTCGATACATTGATTTGATACATCAAAACACCTGGCTTGTTAAGGTGTGGTCGAGCACGCGTGACTACAAACCATTTAGTAAAGATCTCCAACTGCATAACGCTACAGTCACATATGGGGTCAAGTAAAGTGGTCTACTGTCAAAACCATCAAACATATTCCCTGGGGTGGTAAGCCAAATAAGTTTACAAGTTATTAGGGATGTTTTAGTTAGGGTAGATCTAATGTAAGGTTCCGTGGCAATAAAAATATAGAACGCTAATAGGTATAGTACAAATATGAGTTTATATTAATTTTTTTATGCATATGTGTGTGATGTACTCAGCGAGTTCATGGGCTAAAATATAATGTAAACAAGACAGAGTATTTAATATTCAAGGCCAAATATCCTACGCATGTGCCTGTTATCCAGTTATACGGAGCAAACATAAAAAGAGTGCATAAATTTAAATATCTGGGGCACTATGTTACTGATGACCTTACAGATCAAACTGATGTCGAAAACGTGCGTAGGGTTTTGTCTGTTAGATGTAACATGTTGGCTCGCAGGTTTGCTCGTTGTAGTGAAGAAGTAAAATCACACTCTTCAAAGCATACTGCCAAACAACCCGAGCAGCCTGTGGGCCAATGCCTTTCGAATCCAGTATAATAACAGTTTTAAAGTGCTCTTGGAGCTACCTCGCTTTTGCTATGCCTCTAGCATGTTTGCTCAATCTCGCCAATATGATTACTACGCTATAAGGAGAAAGAGATCTGCATCATTGCTGCACAGGGTTAGGACAAGCATCAACAGCATTCTGAAAGTAATAGGCGAGAAATACAGCTCGTCTATAATTAGGCATTTTATTCTGATACTGATTTAGTCAACTGGGTCACATCCGAGTGAATTGCTTTAGTTGAATGTTCTTTGTTTTTTTACTAGCATAGTTTGTAAGGAAATTGCTACTAACAAAACTGACAGAATTATAGTCTGAAAATATTTTTTTTTATACAACTTAGAATGGCAAACAGGCTGTCGGCCCATCTGATGGAAAGTGGTATCCATCGCCTATAGACATGAGCAGTACCATGAACATAACAGAGTATACTGTTTCGCCCATGATACGCCCCATGATAATGATATTATTACTTATATTAAAAACGGTCACAATTGTTTTGGATGTTGAATAGTATTTACTCTTCAGGTTTTATAAAGTTTCTTAAATTATTTTTACGCTAGGTTATGATATAGCGTAAAAAAGTTCAAGGTAGGCAGAGAGGCAAAAACTATTAGTCTATTTCATTGAAAATTAATGAAAGTTGTAAACAAATGAATAAAGACTTTGCTACTAATACTGTTATTGAACTATTTTACTACGTTACTGCTAACTACCAAATATTGTTTTAAAGGTGGGCCTCTAAAACAGTCTGCTGTCGTTTGATAGTAGTACAAGTAAAAAATCGATTAATTCATTGAATATCCATTAAATTTGTTATTATTTTAATTTAGAGAGTGTTTTTTTGATATTTTCAACAAAATTTGGTAACCTTTTCATTGAGTATTATTCATCTATCATTAATAATAAAGATCTAGTATGTATAAAAAAATACTAGTATGTATCCAATCATCTTCAAAAAAATGAATCATCATATCATAATTACATTTGCTGTCTACAGTCCACTTCAGGACACAGATCTCCCCCAAAGGAGGAATTCTGCCAGTAGTTGCCACGCTTGGCAGGCGAATTGGTAACCACAGTTCAGTTTTGGTGATCTTTCTAATAAGAGCGCTGCTGCCCATCCCTCCCATTATGTTCCCTTAGTCGCGACTTACAACATCTATGGAAACGGAAGGGGTGGCCTATTTATAGAATACAGGAGCTCACAGCAATTACTATTAAAAATAATATTTTTGTAAAAGAATTGAATATTTTAAATAAATTAGAACAAATTTGAAAAGATAAACATAATTTGTATAGTAAAATTTATTTTATACAATTAGAAGCAACTAGAGCTGTAGGTAATGTGGTGCAGTGGCAATAAACGAATTCAATAGACCCTGGGCGCTGGTGGAATTGACTGAACCTCGTCATCAAGAGTTGCATCGATGACCGGACGGTAATTGATTATAACTTGTCCGGTACAAAGATCCACTGTGGTCAGAGAGTGCTTCCTCCAGTGTTTATTTAAGGGTTTTTTGGTCTGAAAACAGTATAGGAAATTTAAACAACCTGTCAGATCTAGCGGCCGTTTATAAATATAATATTATACTTTCATCATCATTATCAGCCTTTACTGTCCACTGCTGAATATAAGCTCTCCTTTGGGGAGTTTTGCTTGTAGTTGCTACGCTTGCCAGGCGGATTGGCATCCGCAGTTGGGCTTTGGAGATGTTTTAATTGGGACGCTGCTGCACATCCTCCGCTTTCATTTAGTCATCTCTTACGACACCCACGGGAAAGGAAGTGCTGGCTTATTATATGCTGGGGCCACATAGCCGATATTATATTTTACTATAACTTCATAAAAATGAAACTAGGTAATAGTAGACTATGTAAAGAAGCAATGGCCAAAAAAAACAATAATATAAAAAAAGGCTAGCTGGAAATGTTGCCAGCAACAGACAGTATTATACCCATTTTTTTAATGGATGATAATGAAATGGTAACCCCACCTGCGCTGATGTTAAACACTAGTGGGGCATCAGTTAAAGACGATAGGTGAGGATGAAGTCTTGGCTATTTGTATTCGGTTTCTTAAAAACTTATATTCCATTGATGATTATGGATGCTTTCCAATATGAGAAGGATTCTAGTCTAATATTACCATAGTTGGTTAATAAATCATTGTTACCTGATCTTTTGTGGGTTTGCTATAGTCCATTTCATCTTCTCTTTTAGGAAAGTCGTCTCTAAAATGCGCTCCTCTACTCTCAGTTCTATTCTTTGCTGCAGCGACGACCTGAACTGCCATTTGCAGCATGTTTTGCAACTCTAGAGTTTCAATAAGATCGCTGTTCCAGTTTAGACGCCGATCTGTGACTCGAATCTGATCGAAGGTTTTGAACCATTGCTGGATTTCTTTTTCGCCTGGTGACAGACGAGAGCAGCATATAGAAGCAATATTTGAATAATAACATTGCTTTCTAAAATAACATAAGTACTAAGCTAACCTTCCTCTAAAAGTTTGGCTTCTCTGAAGACACCGCACTTAGTTTGCATGGTGTTTCGCATCGCTTCTCTTAACTCAGCAGTTGGCGCGCATCCATTACTATTGCGGATTTTTTCTAAATTATCTAATGATGCATCGCATATATCCTGAAGAAGTGAGAATTATATATTAATCTATGAAGCTCCTCACATCTTACATCAGAGATCCGATATAGGAAGAATTATTTCTTTTTATACAGACTGCCTCGACTTTTTGCAAGATATGTGATTAAGAGTTAGAGAAAAATTTAAACTGTGTGCAACCTGGCGTTAAATATTAATGTATAATATAAAAATTGTGCTTGATTTAGTATCAAATGCCCTAAATATTAATAGGATAGCTGTAATGATATTTAAAAAAAAGAAACTGTAGATTTTACAAAAGGGTCAAGTCATTTCTTAATTTGCGGATGTCTCAATAGATTGATCACTGTGAAGGAGATGAAGAAGGTACAAGTATTTTTGAATTGGAGCTTTTAGTATTCTACTATTTCTGCTTACCACAATGCCGGGCAGAACCTATAGAGATAGGCACTACGTTTGTATGTAAAGTAGTTACAATAACAATAAACTCACGTCCTTCAAAATCGGCTGTTTCTCCCCTGGCTTGAACAACTTGCTGATATTGTTCGCTATAGCCCTGCCAAAAACAACAATATCCAGAATGGAGTTGGCACCGAGCCGATTGGCACCGTGACAGTTGCTCACCGCCTCTCCGACAGCGTGCAGACCCTTGACCGTGCAGTCACGGCCATTCTGGTGGACTAACACCTGGACATTTCAAAGTTCCCAAATAGTCTGCGTATCGTATAACTTTCCATCAGATATTTGTTTGGCATTTCAAGTCGTATCAAAGTCTCTCCATGAACAATGGTAGCGAATAGGACAACAAGCGTCCGGTGAGCGATCATGTTTGCAAAAAATATTTTTAGAACTTTAATATATAATTTCTTTCAACAATAAACCAATTCTGATAACGACAAAATTAATCAAGACGATACAAAAGAGGGAAGACTCTTGCATAATTTAAGATTGTATTTCGTAAAAAAGAGACCATCTTGATTAAACGAATATAGGTCAAACATGAGAATAAAGCATGGCGATTGAAAAATTATGCGAAAGTTTGTCAAATGGGTGGATATTTGTTACTCTTTTGCGCAAGAACTTCATAACCTTCAAGAAACGAGCATATTCCTTTTTAAAAGGTCGGTAGCAAACCTGCAATGCCTTTGGTGTTGTGGGTGATCATGGGCGGCGGTAATTACTTACCATCAGGTGAGTCACATGGAGATGTGGCTCACCTCATGGTAAGCTTCAACTGTGGATATTTTACCAGAGGGAGACTTTGTACAAAAGTCGTTTGCTTGGGTACCTCTGTCTCATTCGTGTTTCAACCGTAAAGCAGTTGTGTTTGCATGGCTGTATTTCGGCTTGAAGGGTGGGATATGGCGTGAATTTACAAGGTACAGTAATAACACCCGAGTTCGTATAATATATTCTGTTATGTCCATGATACTGCTCATGTCTATAGGCGACGGTTATCGCTTTCTATCAGGTGGGCCATCAGCTGGTCTGCCATTCTAAGTTGTTTGAAAAAAAAAATGTTTTAAGAGAGAGTCCATCCTTTGCCCTCCCTTAGTCCCTGCTTATGACACCCATGGGAAAGGAAGAGGTGGCCTATTCTATGATGGGACGACACGGGAACTTTTTGTTTTAATTGAAACAAAATCTGAATTAAAACACTGTACCTCGCCTTTGTAATTGATAGGTATCCCTCCCATAGTGTAGTGAACGGTGGGTATGATTGGCACAGGCTGAGTGAACACATCGACGCCAGTGAACGTGTGCGCAGTCTCCGCAATGCCAGGTAATCTATCTCTGATGATTTCAGGTTTCAAATGATGCAGTTGTAGATACATATGGTCTTTTTTCGGACCAACTCCTCGACCTAGGAGCAAATAGATTGTTAATAATGGAGTCTAATTGCCCCATTGCTAGCAATATACTCTAGCAGATTGACGTCCATGTGGTTCCCTTCTGAAACCATCTTGGTTATTTCTTGTGGAATTTGTCACGATGGCCCAACTGACCTGCATTCATCCTTATCTGTCATCACTCACAGGTGCTCCACCAGCGCATAACGATAGCGCAGACAGGGTTAAAAGTGCATTCTCGTCTATTACAAAAAGAACTCGAATCCTTGTGAATGAGAATAATTTACATTTTCAACTAATGATTATATGACAAACAAACTGACGTAAAACACTCGAATCTGTACTGTACAATTTATTGACAATTGTCATCAGTAAATAAAGGAACGTCAAAGTCATCATCATTTTAACTCTAATTATTCCATTATTCAATGTTGCATATAGATTTTCTACGAACTGCAGCAAATAACGGTCCTGAGGAGCATGCACCCATCTATTGCCAGCATAATTTTCGATATGATCATTGTCATGGGTTCACCATATATTTGTTTGTAGGGGATCGCCGTCCATTATTTGACACCCTTGCTTACTCTTTCAACTTATAAACTTACCTTAACTTATAAAGTATACCTTACATCTTGGCATAGCACTATCTTCAAAAGAAAATCTCTTTAACTTCCTATTACCACGCTGGTCTTAATATAAGGATTTATGTCAACTCTTTCTACTCTATATTGTTATTTGTTTCCTACAATATCTTTTCCCAAACCTTTGAGGATTTCAATACGTCCTACTGCATCATCACGCGAGAAGCTCCCTACACACCTTGGCGAATTTCCGTAGCTATAGACCTGGAAACGACGTCTCGACTAGCCAGATCTTTGGCTTTCGGTGCATATTTCTCCATGAACCGAACGCCTTCGCTGTTAATCAAGTATCCTCCTTCCCCTCGACAGCCTTCTGACATCAAGCACCCAGATCCGTACATACCTGTAGACAGATTTCCAAGTAGTCACATGCAGAATGTTAACATTTACAATTTGTTTTTTTTTTACTTGTAATTTTTTAAAAGTGATCATAATTGAAGAAAAAATATCATCATTACCATCACATATCAGCTATTAACTGTCCACTGCTGAAAATAGGCCGCCCCCATCGGGGGGGGGGGGTGCCAATATTGACTACGCTTAGCAGAAAGGTCATCAATTGCAATTAGTCTTTGGTGATGTTTTAAGAAGGACGCTGCTGCCCATCCCTCGACTTACGATATCTGGTGGTCCCGGTATAGAATAGGCCATCCCTTCTTTTCCCGTGGGTGTCGTAAGAGGTCACTAGGGGAGGACAAGCGATGGGCAGCAGCGTTTCTCTTCTAACTTCTCTTGAATCATCTCTAAAGCCTGGTTGCGGTTGCCAATCCTCCTGTCAAGCGTGGCTACGACTGGCAGAACCTCCCAATGGGGAGGCTTACATTCCGCAGTGGACAGTTAAAGACTGATATGATGATAAATAAAATACTAAAAATTAAGGGTTATTTCGTGGATTATTCATCAATATGATGTAATAGAACAGTGATTAGCTTAGTGGCTGAGTATACGAACTGAAGCCGATGATAATATTTTAATTGTATATTAATATTTATTTAATAGCTTAATTATTATAACGACGATTTAGTGCCCACGCATGCGTATTGGTACCTAAACGTTAAGAACATTGACCTTAATAGATAAATGTGAAGGAATTAACGTAAAAAAATTAACCAACGTTCTTTAGGGCTATACTGTTATTTATAATATATACTCGTATCTAACTATACTTCACACTTAATTTTACACAAAATTACATAAGGGTACAGAGGAATAACACCCAAGTCCTCAAGAATGGCAACGTATGAAGGGTATTATGGGCGAAACAATATACTCTGTTATATCCATGGCACTGCTCATGTCTACAGGCGACGGTTACGACTTACAGATGGACCGTCAGCTTGTTTGACTCGTAGAATACCAGTAAGTTGCATAAAAAAATAAGAGGTTAGGAACTATATATAACATTTCAACGGGAAAATTATTAATTTCGAAGTAAATTTTCATTCTTTTTACAAGGTACCAGCAAGATGTCAGCGCTACGGTTACTCCGTAGCTTAATGCTGAGTTCGTTGCCTTTTCACCGTAGAGGCATATAAAACCACTTACAAATTTTTTGCTTCGCTTATAAATTATGTGCTTATAAATGAATTTTTTTTAATAAATCACCGTGTGTGACCGGCACAGAATGGACCACCACTTCCTTTCCCGTGGATGTCATAAGAGGCGACTAAGGAAGGGCGTGGGATGTGTAGCAGCGTCTCTCTTAAAACATCGCTGAAAGCCTAACTGCAGTTGGGTTGGCCTGCCAAGCGTGGCAACTACTGGTAAAACTCCCCTTATGGGGAAGGCTTATATTCAGCAGTGGCCAGCTAACGGCAGCTCTTGTCAACACTGAGTACTTGCACAGACGCAACCAGGTAGCCAAAATACTCCATCAAGAACTAGCTCTGAAGTATGGCTTCGCGAATGAGAGGTTGCCCTACAATAATATAAGTACGAGCCCATGCCGGTCCTCGAAAGTAACAGCGTCAGGCTCTACTGGGACCGATCCATCATTACGGACAAGACAGTTCTCGCGAACAAATCTGGTATCGTGGTGATGAATCGGGCACTCTCGAGTGTGTTTTTGGTGGAAGTCACCATACCGCATGACGAGAACCTCGTAAAAGCTGAAACCGAGAAAAAGAGAAAATATCTCGACCTGGCTCACGAGGTGAACGAAATGTGGGGGGTGGCGTCCACCGAAATTATTCCAATCGTTTTGTCGGTGAAAGGTCTTATCCCAACCGGTCCGATTCCGAGGCGGCTCACTCCCGGGAAAGATGCAGAAAGCGGTGCTCTTAGATTCTGCCCGCATTGTACGCCGGTTTCTCTCCCTGGGGCCCTAAACCCCGGCCGACTGTGCTTCTGCCGGGGGTTAGTTGTCATCTCCTTTCCTTAAGAGGGGAGATGTGAATTTTGTAAAAATTTAAAAAATAATAATAAAGTAGTAATAAGTAACCAGTTGGATGGAATTGTATGAACTCCATGTCTTGCAGCGCGATGCCCGCCCGGGTGGCCATTGCGCATCCGTCGCCTGTCGATGTGTGCGCTGCAGTGCAAGAGAAATACATTCTCGAATAACCGCCTGTGGCTATCACTGTGTTCTTTGCCTGGAATCTGTATAAATAAAAAAGAAAAAAAACTTAGGGAGCGGAGCATGGCATACTTATTAATGAAACCAATATATATATATATATATATATATATATATATATATATATATATATATATATACGACATTTACTGTATTTCTCATACGAAATAGATATTACTATTGACACTACAATTCGTTATTTAGTTATTATTTAACAATAAATAAAATAATTGATTTTCATTCCTTCATAATTTAATCAATGTTTTAGGGATAATGCCCTATCTTAAAACGAAAGGCCTAAGAAAATTAGATAGATGATTCGCTCTTTCGAAGTCATTTAATTATGGTTTCTGTGTTACCAGACCAGACCTGTTTTCTAAAATATTTATTGAAATGCAAGCGCACAACACACACGCACACGTACACGCACACGCGCACGCAAGCACGCACGAGCACACACACACACGCACGCACGCACGCACGCACGCACGAACACACACACACACACGCACGCACGCACGCACACACACACACACACACACACACACACACACACACACACACACACACACACACACACACACGCACGCACGCACGCACACACACGCACACAGACACACACAACTACACACACAAACTATTACAAATTATTATATATATTTATATTAAAATTATATTTATCCATATTAGTTAATAGGTTCCCCAGATACAGGCTCGACCCATATGGGGACCGTTGTTAATCAATTATGTAATCTACTGTTTGAAATAAAGATTATTATTATTATTATTATTATTATTACCAAAAAGCTATTTTGCCCTACCTTAAACTTGGGTCTAGCTACAGCCCTGAATTGTACGTAATGTTTATTCTTAAAAAAATATTTTATAATGCTTTTAAAAATTTAAAATTAAAATTAATATCACCTTTATTTTATCAATATTTGCACACTTGATTTAAAGTAGATATTGTAAGGTTTTTTTTTATATAATTTACAATGCCAAACAAGCTGACGGCCCACCTGATGGAAAGTGGTAACCGTCGCCTATAGACATGAGCAGTACCATGGACATAACAGAGTATACTGTTTCGCCCATAATACCCCCCATGCGTTGCCATTCCTGAGGACTCAGGTGTTATTCCTCTGTACCCAGTAAATTCACGCCATATCCCACCCTTCAAATCGAAACACAGCCATGCAAACACAACTGCTTCACGGTAGAAACACGAATGGGACAAAGGTACCCAACCAATCGACTTCTGTATAAAGTCTTCTTCTGGTAAACTTTTAATTTATAAAATCTAATGTTTTATACTCAAAATCACAGAAAATAAATGTATTATTATTATCTACTTTATTTCTTTTTATTGCTAAAACAAACCTGTGCAGACTGCTGTCGTCCATGTCAATAGCAACAGCACCAACCACCTCGCCGTCCTGCACCAGAAGATCCAACACGAAGAATTCTATGAAGTGTTCCACTTGTTTGTACTTAGTGCTATATCCGTATAGAGTATGCAGGAGCGAGTGACCCGTACTGTAAACAATCAAGGGGTCTACCATGTAATCAAATTTAGAATTTTCGTGTTTACGTTCATACCGAAATCGGCACAGCAAATGGATCTATAACTCTTAACTTTTTTAAATATTTTAAAACGGTTTTTATTATATAATTTTAACATTTTTGTTTCGTTCGGTCCCGAAGTTTCGGATAATATTTCATGGTAGGCCCTCAGTTTCCAATTAACAGATAGTGCTGTGACTTTTCAAGGGTACTTCATTGTATCAATCAGATATATAATATTATTCAAAACATTCGTTATTTGTTCTAATGCCATTATGAAAACGTTTTTATTAATTATACACGCGACCGATTTCGAAATTTTATATTCAGGCATATTTAATCCTCTATACATATAATAAAACTGTAGAGGTCAAATGTTTGTACGTAGAAAATAAATGAACTCATCCAGATTTTTTCAAAGAGTGAGTTGTCATGGCATTTAATTTTTGGTCTAAAATTCTCAGACAATATTTAGGTAGGTATACTAAACAGGAATAACATATACCCTGCGGACAAAGTCGCGGGCGTTAACTAGTTATAATATAAAATAATAAGGCTTTCCCATTTTTTGTAGACCAACAAAATGGCTTTAACGTTTAGTCCATTTCATTACAATAACTGTATTATTATAACAGCAACAACAATATAAAAAAAAAATATTAAGAAAAAAATAATAATCCCGCGTTTCCCCGTCATATTTGACATAAACATTTTTCCCGCTATAAAACGAAATTATAAGATAGCATAGATGATGCGAAATGTTTTACGTTGTGTTTCCACAACCACATGGTAGATGGCGCTATTCATTTGTATAACAAAAATAACGATTCGCTTAAATATTGACCGCATAGTGTTTTTATACATTAATTTTTATTTTTATAGAAAACACAAACATCACATCTGCATTGTTAAGTAATAAATGCCAGAATGTCTATTTTTTATTTTGTGTGCTTTATTCCCGATTAATACAAAATCAAAAATGTGAAAAGGAATTTACGAGATCCGAGAGATGGGGCGACGTATAGTAAGAGTTATGCTTTTAAAAATAAAAGCGGCATTTTATCGCTTATATTTATATACACACCACCCGAGAGATGGCAGCACTACGTTGCTTTCAACAAAAAATAACTGTGTCATAAGCAAGCATTTTCGAGCTCGCTTCGTCTAAGCCTTATTAGTTACATTGATTTCAATAGATGGCGCTAGCATTGCAAATGCATTATCATATAAAATTTACGTTTATTTACATCACTGATTAAAATACAGTTAACTAATTTTTTTTTATTAGTGCATTTTTTTATGGGAAAGGGTATACAAATGTTGACCGGGGATGTAAGGTACTACCGTGCAAAATTTCATTTCAATCGGTCAAACAGTTTCGTAGATTAGCCCGTCAACAAACAGACAGAGAAACAAATAATTTGGGGAAAAAATCTAGATATGTTCTATTTCACTTCTAACATCCTCTTGACTCGGTTTTAGCCTCTTTTTTTATGTAACTTATACAGTTTTTATTATATATATAAATATTAGTATAAATGGCGAGTTTACCGGTCAGCTACACAGCAAGTCCTTTTAGCCGCCGATTTCGTGCCGTTGTGAGTGGTCGCGCCGCCGAACGATCGCTGGTAGATCTTACCATCTTGGGTCCTCGAGAACGGCATACCCATGTTCTCCAGTTCAAACGCTACGGACGGAGCTTCCCGAGTCAAATAGTGTATCGAGTCCTGTGGGAAGGAATATTTGTTTATTTTATAAATATGGTGACGGTCAAGCATACGGCTCGCCTGGTGGTAAGCGAACACCCTGGCTTTAACACTTGAAATAAAAGAAATATCATGGTGCGTATTGACAACCCAAGTGATCTGATTAAGTATTTAAATAAAAACTATATACCTACGCCCACGACTGAAATACTTTATGCGGTAGCGTAGCGTAGCGTTGTTAACGGTGTTTATCATCATCGGACAGACAGTCGGAACGTATTTGCTACGTAGTCTTATTAGAACTCACAAATTTGGAATCTATCGATTTTACATAAAAAAAAAATATTTAAGACTCTGTCTAAACAGTGTTTAACAAAAATCTGCCTAAGTGATTAAATATCGTTTCATCATATCAGACTTTAACTGTCCAATATCTATATATTGGGTTTTTTTAAACATCGATGATGGAAAAAAGGTAATCAACCATTTCGATATCACCGTACGGATACCGATCAAATAACTAGATTAATTTCGATCGCGATTTATTTCGACATTAAATATGGAATAACTGATATTTTATATATTTATTATTGGGCTAATATATATTGTAATTAAAATATATAAATATAGCTATATATAAACCACCTGTATCCAGCATCATTTCCCATTAAAGTGGTGTCACGGTCGCAGCACTATTTATGTAGGTCACGGACATAAAGCGCTGTGATAATGTAACACTGTCGTTTCACTGTTAATCATAACTAGTTTTTAACGTGTTAATTTAAACGTTATAACGTTATTGTAATCGTTGTGGCTTTATAGTTTATTTTACTACAATAAAGTTAAACTTGCAATAGACAAGGGTTCAGTAGATGTTTAGGCGTCCCACTAGAATAAATAATACACTAACTAAACAATATTTGCTGGCCATGTGGTCCCCCGGCATAGAATAGACCACCCCGTTTTTTCACGTGGGTGTCGTTAGAAGCGCCTAAAGGAGGGCGAGAGATGGGCAGCAGCGTCCCTCTTAAAACTTCTCCAAAACCTAACTGCGGTTGCCAATCCGCCTGCCAAACGTGACAATTGCTGGCAACCCCCCTTCTCCCAAAAGGGGAGACTTATGTTCAGCAGTGAACAGTGATATGATGATGATGAATAAGGGTTTTAATAAGCCCAATAGTTGTCAAAACAATTTTTAAAAATTTTCATTCCGTCTGTATGTTTGTTTCGGCATTACGCCAAAACTACTGCACCAAAATGGATGCGGTTTTCACAGTTGTATTCCTGAAGATGTAACTTAATATCTGGTGTATGTTTCATCTTAAGGCGCCATCTAGAAGTAGTACTTTTTCTACTTCAGTAGCAGGCTATTTGCTAGTATGCAATAAACGGTTATTGTATGAAATAAACAAAAATATATTTTAATTGAATTTTTGTAAAATAAATTTAATCTTTTTTTTATGCAATTTAGAATGGCACACAAGCTGACGGTCCACTTGATGGAAAGTGATAACCGTCAACTATAAACATGAGCAGTACCATGGACATAAAAGAGTAAGTATAATGTTTCGCCCATGATACCCCCCCCCCCATGCGTTGCCATTCCTGAGGACTTAGGTGTTTTTCCTCTATACCCAGTAAATTCACGCCATATCCCACCCTTCAAACCGAAACACAGCCATGCAAACACAACTGCTTCACGGTTGAAACACTAGGATAGGACAGAGGTACCCAAACAATCGACTTTTGTACAAAGTCTCCCTCTGGTAAGTTTTTATGGTTTTTATCTCACTGCAAATACCTGTATCTGTTTTCCAAATATATATATTTCCTTTTCATCTTCCGCGATATCATGGCCGACTGGAAAACACTTTAATAGATCTATTTGCCGTAGATTATTACTTCCGTTTTTCCTTTGTGACAAGTGAAGCTCTATTTTTTTATTTGCAGAGCAAAACCGTGTTTATTGCAGAACAAAAATAAAAAAAAAAAAAAAAAAAAAAATAGGTTGCAGATACTCGATTCTGCGTTATGAATAATTTTTTTTTTATTAATCTAACGTGTCCAGGGAATTGCTCTCGTTCAACTATTTTTTTTTTTTTAATTTAATTTAAAATAGGAATATTATTAACTGGCGACTCGCTCAGGCTTCGATAAGTAGAAGAGCATATACCCTTCTTATTATAATGGTATTAGTTATTTATTTAGAATAAAATACTAAATAATAGTGAACGTAATGGACATAGACAATGTTTTTTATCAATATTTCTTTTTATTTTCCCCATATTTATTAAGGAATTTCGCAGCTGGCTTTTAGTCACAACAGAATATCAGTGTTTTGCTCTTTTGAAGGCAAAGCAGTAAGCTGAGTTGTGACCATTTTGTGTTACTGTGGCACACACATGAAGGGGAAAAATTGTTACTTCTTTTGTGCATTTTGTTTTTTTTTTTTGTACACGTATTCTTTTATCTCTTTTTATTGTAAGTGATGTAAATAAATTATCTATCTATCTATCTATATATGCATAATTTTTTCCCATCAGTTTGTTACATCAAGTATAGATTAAATGAATATAGTAAGCTATCTTTGAAAGATAGGCATATACATACCATCGCAAACTTTTTATAGACCTATAAAAGATAAACAATCTCACCGTACATTGTTTTGTTATATCTCAAACAGAATAGACATCGTCTTCGATGAATGCTCTCAGTCGACTTCATTACTTACGACATGTTAATTATTTCAATGTCATTATTTCAAGAAATAAACACAAAATAATATTAAACTATATGTATAAACCTTCCTCTTGACTCACACTATGTTTTGACGAAAACTATAATATTAGCATGAGAAGAAAAGAGGCAACCATATGATTTACTGTTTATATTGCTTCTATGTAATTCTTTTTTCTTAGGTAAACCAAATTGAATTTTTTTTTTACAACGCATGGGGCAAACGAGCATGCGGCTCACCTGATGGTAAGTGACTACCGCCACCCACGATCACCCACAACACCAGCGGCATTACAGGTGTGCTGTCGGCCTTTTAAAAAGGAATATACTCTTTTCTTGAAGGTCATGTTGTCGTATCGGTTCGGAAATACTGCTGCTGGAAATTGATTCCAAAGAGTGGTTGTGCGTGGAAGAAAGTGCCAACAAAAAAAAAAAACCGAAAAAGTGTACGATTGTCCCGGTATCATTTATGTGTGTTCATATTAGTATTTCTTTTGCATTTGATAGATGTCGCTTCCCTGTTGGTCCCTTATCAATACTGTTGAGTTCGCTATCGGTGTTTTTTGCGTTGTCAAATCCACACCTTACCTGATCTCCGAGCCAGTCTGAACCTTTCACGGTGTCGTAAAAGTGCCACTGCCATTTGTCTTCATGCATGCTACCTGTTGATCAATGTTAAAGATTTATTTTTGTTCTTATTTTTATAACTAGTTACTATAACTAGTACTAGTTAGTTATTATAACTGGTACTTTTTAATTTTATAGTGATAAAATACTTTATAGTATGTTCTCGTAGAACGTTTTGGTTTTTATGAATACCTTCTATTCATTAGGATAATTCGAAAAATATGGATTTCTTTAATAGATAAAAATGAAATAGCAATAGGTACTTGACTACACTATTATTTGAGATCTACCTCGATAAGTTACCAGTAAGAGCAGATGTGATCTGATAAAACATGAACTTTTCTAATATATCTTGGGGTCTGGGCATTTTAGAGTCGTGTTTTTTTTTTATACAACTTAGAATGTCAAACAAGCTGACGGACCACCTGATGGAAAGTGGTAACCGTCGCCTATAGACATGAGCAGTACCATGGACATAATAGAGTATACTGTTTTGCCCATGACACCCCCCATGCTTTGCCATTCCTGAGGACTCAGATGTTATTCCTCTGTACCCTGTAAATTCACACCCTTCAAACCGAAACACAAGGTAGACAGAGGTACCCAATCAAACGACTTTTGTACAAAGTATCCCTCTGGAGTGTTTATTTAAAGTTTTTAAATATTGGGTACTCTTGATAAAGTATCAAATTATTTTTTATCTAAATGCATATGTTTATTCCATGAGAAAATATGAGACTCTAAACATGCTGCCTTTCTTCATCAGACGTGTGGCAACATAAATACTTTTTAATTTACAAACAGGTCCGTCTAAAAGAGATGCAAGGGGTGCGTGGAACAGGCCCGTTCGCGAGGGTTGAATAACACCGGAGGGCAGGATCCTAGGGGTCGCAACGAGTTTCATTTCACCCCGGTCGTCAATAATTTCTCAAGTATTTTTTTATTTTTTTATGGGGCGCAAATTCTAATGGGGAGCGACCCCGTTCTTTGCACACCACCATCGATTTTTGAAACCCAGTGCAAAGTCTATTTAAAATTTATAACGACGTTGTAGGTTTAACTAATACTTTTAGACATTTACAAAAAGATTGTATACATTTTTTCTAAGTTGTATTGTTTTATTTCTATGTAGCATATAATATAAATATATCTAATATATAAAATTCTCGTGTCGCGGTGTTTGTCACTAAACTCTTCCGAAACGGCTTTACCGATTTTCATGAAATTGTGTGTACATATTGGATAGGACCGAGAATCGGCCAACATCTATTTTTCATACCCCTCAATGAATAGGGGTGACCCACCCCCAAAATTTATTTTTCTGACATTTTTTTTTATTTTTATTTTACTTTAATTTTGCATTGAAAAATACATACAAATTAAAATTTTGGCTTTGATATGGTGTGAATTTACAGGGTACAGAGAAATAACACCTGAGTTCTCAGGAATGGCAACGCATGGAAGGTATCATGGGCGAAACAGTATACTCTGTTATGTCTATGGTACTGCTCATGTCTATAGGCGACGGTTACCACTTTCTATCAGGTGAACCGTCAGCTTGTTTCCCATTCTAAGTTGTATAAAAAAAAAAAAGATCTATTAACTTTTTCTAAATAATCTTTCTTACTTATAGAATTAACTACTTAACTTTTTAGTTTCATTTGCATTTGAAATACATTCAGAATTTGTATACCATATTTCTATTGTTTTACCTTCAATAAATTAATTCAACATTCTCGATAGATAACATAATCAATGGCGAAGGTGAACTTAAATTAATTTTACGCTAATTACACAAAACTAAACAACTTTATGGAATCTCGTGGTTAAATAGTTGTCTATTACATCCGATGTCCTCTATAGTTCCAATTAAATTCTATGCAAACTCTAATCTCACTATTGTTACTTGCATAATAACAAAGGACTTGTTATATTGTACAAATTGGATACAATTATGGAAATGCAGTCGTGAGCGTATATTGTTTTTTTTTTTATATGAATGCTGTATCAAAAGCATCATATATGGTGTATTAATGCCCATCATAATCCGTCTTTTATTTTATTTAATTATTTATTCTATGTTTAATATTTATATGAATTCGTCACGGTGGGCTAACTGACCTGCTTCAACTTCACCTACCAGGGGGGAAAAGGATTATTAGTAATGGAGACTGAATCCCATTGCTAGCAATATACCCAGCCAGGTCGACCTTCTCGCGGAGCCCCTAGGAAACTATCATAGTTAATTCTTGATGAATTCATCGTGATGAGCTAACTGGCCTGTTTTCATTCTCAGCGACCACCCTTCACTGGTGCTCCGCCAGTGTATCCCGTTAGCGCAGGCGGGGTTACCATACCATTTGCACCCATCAAAAAAAAAACCTCACCTACCATCCTTCACTGGTGCCCCGCCGGTGTATACCGATGGCCCGGGTGGGATTACCATTCCATTATCACCCATTAAAAAAACCCAATAAAAAGTATACGTTTGGGGCACAAGTGAGTGGTGATAGGCGAGGACGAAACCAGATCAACAGGTATACTCTTGAATTCAGTCAATTATTATCAATCCAATCAATTGCTAATGACAATTCTATACTGCATTAATGGAACTACAGTTTGTAATTAGATTATAATTAGGATCGGTTTACAATAGTTTGCATTGACAAGTTACATTAGTATGCATCTATCAGAACAATATGGAACCATTATGTCGCTAGTATTGCAATTCGAGAGTACACAATGTCTCAATTTTAACATGGAATGGCAAACAAGCTGACATCCCACTTGATGGAAAGTGGTAACCGTCGCCTATAAACACGAGCAGTACCGTGGACATAACAGAGTATACTGTTTCGCCCATGATACTTCCTATGCGTTGCCATTCCCGAGGACTCGGGTGTTATTCCTCTGTACCCTGTAAATTCACTGCCATATCTCACCATTCAATCAGAAACACAGCCATGTACACACAACTGCTTCACGGTAGAAACACGAATGGGACAGAGGTAGCTAAGCAAACGACTTTTGTATAAATTTTCCCTCTTATTTCAAGAGTAACCCCACAATTAGCCCATTATGACGGAGTCAACAAGAATTAATCACGATGGTTTCCAGGGAGAACAGCGTGGCAGTCGACTTAATAAAGTATATTGCCAGCAATGGGGATTAACGTCCCCATTACTAACAATCTCTCTTCTCTGCTGAGCCTAGACTAGGTCCACAATCACGATGACATAATGCTTCAGAAATGAAGGCCTTTCTTTAAGAAAGGCCTTCATTTGAACATTTCAGAAGAGATTTTTATTTATTTTTATGTTGTGTAATTTTTAGTTATGGTTGAAAAAATTAAAAGAAAAAACATTCTGTACTTGGAGATACCAAAGATACTCAAGTGAAAATTATGAAATAATTACAGTTTATAATATAACTAGCTGACCCCGTAAACGTTGTTTTACCACTTATTGCGAAATATAAAAATCGCAATTAAAATACAGGGGTTGATCGTAAAACGATGAAAATTTAAAGTTGTATGTATTTTTCAATGCTAAATCATAATAAAATAAAAATGGAAAAATTTGTTTGTAAAAAAAAAAAATATTTTGGGGAGGGTCACCCTTATCATTGATGGGTATGAAAAATAGATGTTGGCCGATTCTCAGACCTACCCAATATGCACACAAAATTTCATAAAAATCGGTAAAGCCGTTTCGGAGGAGTTTGGTAACAAACACCGTGACACGAGAATTTTATATTTATATATATATATATATATATATATATATATTCTTATTTGCACTTAATACGTGATATTACAGAAACAATAAAAGAACGTTTCTAACAAGGTGCTAAAATAGTGCTTCAAAAAAGGTGCTATTTTTTGAGAAATTATCAAAATACCTCCAAAATCTCGCAAACGTAGTTTTTGCAATCCTATTTTTAAACACAATTATGGTCCACCATAAGAATTTACGAATCAATCAATAATGATGATGATTAAACGTCCATTTCATATGGGAAATGCAATAAAGGTCATTTGTACGTCACATTTAAATATTTATGTACGGAATCCTTGGCGTGCGAGTTCGACTCGCGCCTGACCTTTCAGTACGTACCTATAGCAGCATTTAAGCCACCCTGCGCCGCGATGGTATGGGACCGGGTGGGGAAGATTTTGGAGACCAGGGCAACGGAGAACTGCTGCTCAGCCAAGCCAACAGCCACCCGGAGCCCCCCACCACCAGCCCCGATGATCAGCACGTCGTGGCAGTGGTGATTTATCACGTACGACTTCCAACGGTGAGTATCTGAAGGTTTTTCGCGATGTCTATTTAGAATGGCAAACAGGTTGACGGGTCCCACCTGATGGAAAGCGCGCCATAGACGGTACAGAATACACTGTGACATCCATGGCACCCCTCGTTATCGTTATACAGCATTTAACTGTCCACTGCTGGGCATAAGGCTGATGATAATGATGATGGTATGTAAGTACAATACAATTAACAATTTTATATACTTAATTCACAACAGTTCCATTCTCTTCAATTGATACAACCCTCCGGATTAAAGTTATCGATAATTGTTTTTGTATAGAATTTATATATATAAAGAAAAATTATATATAAAGAATATATATATATATTAGCCGACTTCAAAAAGAAGGAGTTTCTCAATTCAGTTGTATTTTTATTGTGTTTCTTACTTGGAATATTCTTTTTGTATCTAAAAGGATCGGGATCACTCAATCAATCACCCACGGGATAGGAAGGGGTGGTCCGTTCTATGCCGGGACCACACATCCACTTACATACCATGTCAGTTGTTAATTGTCCACTGCTGGATATAAACCTCCTCTATTGGTGGGAGGGTAGGGGGAGGGGGAAGATTGCCAGTTGTCACGCTTAGCAGACGGGTAAGAAACCGCAGTTAGGCCTTGGAGTTGTTTTAAGAGGGACTCTGCTACCTATCTCTCGGTCTTTGAATTCTCTTAGTCGCCTCTTACGATACACATCGAAAAGGAAGGGGTGGCCCATTCTATGCCGGAACCACACGGTCAAGAGTTTACTTACATGCTTTACGTACTTTGTCTTGAAAAATTCTCGCGGAAACATTAAGAAATCTCTGAAATTAATCATAATAGCATATTAGAGTATATATATATATATATATATATATATATATATATATATATATATATTCTATATATATATATAATTCTAGGTGAATTCATCACGATGGGCTAACTGGTCTGTTTTCATTCTCATCAATCACCCTTCACTGGTGCTCCGCCAGCGTATCCCGTTAGCAGGCGGAGTTACCATACCATTTTCACCCATCAAAAAAAATACCTTAGATTGTAGTTAACAGTACTTTTGATTAAGAGCGTCAGTTAAAAGTAATAATAATAATAATCAATAATTTTCAGTCAAAACCAGTTTTGACCAACCTGTTCAGTTAAAAGCTCTTTTGACTGATTTTGCTAGTCAATAATACTTTTGACTGGTTAAGAGGTTTGACTGCAACATATACAACAATACATTTCTCAGAAGCCGCAATGCACGAGCGGTGCTCAAACGGGCGTCACAGTATATCCAGTGAAGCCCGTGGTGCTATTAATGCCTATAGGCGATTGTTATCGTTGTTAGGTCATTAGCTTTTATGTTATTCCAAGTTATATCGAAAACTAATGATTTTTGTGTGTATTTGTACCTTATAAAGTTTTTTTTTCAGATGATAAGATGCTGTGTAACTTCACTGTGTTTCGGTTTGTAGGGTGGGATGTGGCAGTGAATTTACAGGGTACAGAGGGTATAACACCTGAGTCCTCAGGAATGGCAACGCATGGGGGGTATCATGGGCGAAACAGTATACTCTGTTATGTCCATGGTACTGCTTATGTCTATAGGCGACGGTTACTACTTTCCAGCAGGTGAGCCGTCAGCTTGTTTGCCATTCTAAGTTGTATAAAAAAAAACTGGTCGCTACCTATACATCGAAGATATATAAGAAAAACTATTATAGGGAGGGCTTTTATCTGTCTGTACGTTTGTGCATGCTAATCTCAGAAAGTGCTTAACCGATTTGAATGCGGTTTCCACTTATACATTGTGCCTTGCTCCACGTAACATTTAACGTTTGTTTTATTTCAATCGGTTCATAAATAAAAAAGTTATATAAATCTAAAGGATCACATATGAAATGCTATAAAATAACCGATCTGTCGAATTGGCTGAAACATTTTTTTTTATGTATTGAGTTTTGAAAATGCTTTCAATTCGTGCGAAGCCGGGTCGGATCGCTAGTTTATAATACTAGCATTAGTATGTATAAGGAAAAATATGATAAAACTTACTCAACAGTGAATTCTTCTGTAAAATCGTCAATGAATTTATTGCTGCGCGGTTTTTTTGACAAAATGTATTCGAAATGTTGGTATATTTGTTTGAATTATGTGTTTGAATATTTGTCACTCGATCACGTTTATATGGCTAAACGGATTTGAATGGAATTCGGCACAGGATTAAGTTATATTTCACTTTAACTCATAGGATATTTTATATATCGCGTGAATATAATGCACGCTGAAGGAGCCGTAGGGAACAGGCAGTAGGTAATAAAATTATTGCACAATATTTTACAGATTTATATCATCATACTAGCCATCCGCCCCGGCTTCGCATGGGTGGGCATTTTTTTAATTGATATAACTTTCTACCGGAGGATTCTTGGATACTTCGGTCATATTGCTCGACGACCGTCCGACAATCTGGACAAACTAATGGTTGTAGGCAAGATAGAGGGAAAAAGACCACGCGGACGATCGCCAAATCGATGGTCGGACTAAGTAACCGCCGTTACGGGACTGTCGATTGCAGCTGCCCTGCGAGAAGCTGAAGACAGTGTAAAATGGAATAACATCATAAGAGAGGCAACAGACACCTTTCAAGGACACGACCTTCAGTAATGAAGAGGACGAAGAGAGAGATAACTTTCTTATTTATGAACCAATTGAAATAAACATTAAATGTTAAGTGAAGCAAACGCATTCAAATCGGCTAAGCCGTTTCTGAGATTAGCGTGCATAAACATACTGACAAACAAAAATTCTAAAAATGATTGTTTTGGGTTCCTATAATACTCGTAGTTTTTCTAATATATCTTCCATGTACAGACAGCGACCAGTTATGATTTTATTATATGCATTGATTGATATTTATTTATTTATTTATTACATCCACTGGGTGGGCCTTACAGTCTTCCAATACGCTCACCCAGGAAAGCTTGAGTACAATAACATATAAAAAAGGAATATTACATATTAATAACAAAAATAATATAAAAAGATTTAACACAAACAAAAAACGTGTGAACACAAACACTCTGTGGTCACTCGACGAAACTCCAGCAAGTTGGAGGCAAATACATCCGATTGCGGATACTGGCTCAAAATATCATTGAGCAGTTTCAATGCAAGAGATATATAGTAGGCAATATGTTAAATGATTAAGAAAGAATCAGTAGATGACGGTGGTTCAGGTCTGTGTTTTGTGATTGAATATGGAGGGGTACTAAATACAGGCGAGGACAATCGAGTACCAAAATGATTAAGGATTGTAAAAATAAATAAATAGATAAATAAATAAACATGAATGACCTAAAAAAAAAGACGTACATCAACAAGTACTCACTCTTGCAGCAAATGTCATACTAAATAATATTTAATAACACAATTATATGTTGATTTGTTGAAAAATCACCGATTAAAACATATATTATATTATATAATAAAATCATGAAAATATTTTTCAAATATTAAGCACTGTTAATTGTTTGAGATTGTCAAACTTTTTTTTTTTTATTATGAATATGAATTATTTAATAATTGTAAGGAGGTAAGTTGTTGTCAAAATTCAAAATTCACCCCTAATTGCTATTTAGTACTAAATTAAATATTACACAGGTAAGTTTTCGTAAGTACATCCATGTATTATAATATATATATATATATATTAAACATAAAATGCGCTGCATTCCTGTGGACTAAGATGTTATATCTCTGTACTCTAACTCTACAGTTTTACTGCCAAAACCCAACCTTTAAACCGAAATGCATCCGTGCAAGTACAACTGCTTTACAGCATAAACACAAATAATACATCGTAAAACATTTGAGAGGTATTCCTGCATATGACTTTTGTATTAAGTCATCATGTGTATTTATGTTAAAAATCGCATGTTATCGCATTAAAAAGAGCCGAACTAACTCACCAGATGGAGACTTTGTGCAAAAGTCGATTGCTTGGGCACCTCTGTCCTATTCGTGTTTCTACCATGAAGCAGTTGTGTTTGCATGGCTGTATTTCGGTTTCAAGGGTGAGATATAGCAGTGAATTTACAGGTTACAAAGGAATAACACCTGAATTTTCAGGAATAGCAACTGATGGAGGGTATCATGGACGAAACAGTATATTGTATTATGCCCATGGTACTGCTCATGTCTATAGACGATATTATATAAAAAAAAAGCTTTTTGTTATAACAAAAAGGAACAACTGAGTTTCTTGCCAGTTCTTCTGAGGAGATATTGCTTTCCGTACGGGTGGGATAATCATAAAATAAAAAAATAAAAACTTAAATTTAAATTTATTGAAAAACAATGAAAATAAATTGTAATTCTCATTAGTTTTACTTGACAATAGACAGTGTAAAAAAAGTAGGAAACCAAAATTGTTATAGAAATTTATTACAGTACAAACGAAGTCGCAGGGAGATCTAGTACCTAATATGTCTAATACTATATCTTTTGGAGGGAAAGGGATTGTTAGTAATGGAGTTCGACAGCCACATTGCTAGCAATATGCCTTATTAGGTCGACCTCCACGTGGTTCCCACTGGAAACCATCGTGAACAATTCCTGTTAAATTCGTCACGATGGGCTAACTGACCTGCTTCATCTCCTCACCTATCATCCTTCACTGGTGCCCCGCCAGTGTATACCGATAGCGCGGGTGGGGTTACCATTCCATTATCATCCATTAAACAATACTATATCTAGTATTATACTTAATGCTATTAAATGTTGTCACAAAAAATAGCAAACGTTAATCTCTATTACAGCTCCTGAGGATGCGGAAAATATGTTACTAAATATAAAATGTATGAAAAATACAGTCTTCAATTCGCTACATACAGTTACAAGTCATTGCCACCAGAGGTCCAGTGCGCAGCGGCGCGTAATGCCGGCCGGGCCGCTATATTACTTTCACACCAAATTACAAGGGTTCGTACGTATGAAAAACTCAAAATTGTGTGCGTAAACAACGTGCAGGGCGATCAGAGACCGTATTACAAAAGGTGAACAATATCAAATCGGTAAATCCAATTGAATGTATGTAAAAGTGTGCATGTAGGTTACCGACAGGGCATGTCTGCTAAAGGGGATTCCTTCGCCCCAATGCGTGTACGTGACGTCACTCATTGAATATTACGAGCCGGGGCGAGGTCCGCACGCTTCGCGCATGCGCCGTGCACGAATATCAATATGAAAAGCGGTATACTTTTGTAGTTCACTGGTTTAAGCAGCAACAAAACATGTAGTTAACAATGGCAATCCTAAATATATAACAGTACAGAATTTTTTATATCGCTACCAACACATTGTACAGTTACGTAGTAAGTCAACAAACAACTGGTGCATTGGTTAACGCAATCCGCGATACAGAATATATGAAGCGCAAACCTCAAACCACTGTATACCGTGCAGGGATTAGTAGATTTTTTTTTTCTATAGTTCATGTGTGAATCAGTGAATCAATTAGCCCTCACTACCTCAAACACGGGCGCCTTAAGACCGCGCGCCGCTGCCGTCCTAACAATTCTCTTGTGACCGTAGAACCAAGCCAAGAAAGTGCCTTAATCAGTGATAAGAATTATAAGATAAAGTGCCACCACTGCCGCTGGACACTGCCAGACGCCGCGAGGTATGCCATTACATTTTTATTGATCGTACGTAAAAAATTACACCGAATCGATACTCGCCAATGTCTGCGGACTAACATTTGGCTTGTGGCGAATTGTGAACACAATTTTTAGGTTATTAATAACAGAATGTAGTATGTAGAACTGATTGTAAATCAGACAAGCTAGACAATAAAGCGATATAACAAACACGTTGTGATATAATGGCAGCATAATTACAGGGAACTGTAGAGCACAAAGTTCTCCATAAATTTTAAATGAAAAATGATGTTTCCCTTGGAAACGTTATTTGTTTAAACGCATACAAATATTCCATTTTTTAAATATTTGTCTATTATTATTTATTAATCTATTTACATATATTTAATCTAATTTATATATATAAAAATATATGTAAAATAGATTGTATATATTTACATAGTTTAATGCATATATGCATTAATTCCCGTTTATAGTTTACCAAAAGGTATAATACAGTTTATGGGCGAAAAAATGGATGTAAGATACATTTACTTTATTTTATTTATATATGTACGTACGTATAAATAAAAAAAAAGTAATTCCATATAAAATAATTAAATAAATTATTTACTATTACTTTTATAGGTTGTCTAAAATGAAATAATTATACAGAGTACACACATTCAGCTAGTTGTTGCGGTAGGAATCAAGTTTTTAATACATTTAGAGAAATTATATTATTATATAATTTGTCTAAAAGTATTAAAAATATGTTACTGAAGTACCTATTGACATTATTTTTACATATATTGGTCTCGATAATTAAATACATATTTACCTATATAAAAAACATACGTTCAAATTGTCGTTACGATTCTGAACTCTGCAGTGAAATAATTTAGATAGTCGTGACTATAATTCTTTGTCTACAAAGATTCAGTTTTAAAGTTGTAAAGTAATGTAATGTAAATTGGATTCTATTTTCTGTGCTAAGCCTCTAATTTGGGTCATTGTGCGTCTAAGTCATGGTTAGTACAGTTTTTAGGTTAGTATTCAATAATACATTCAATACATATTTACAAAGACGATACCCGCTCAGATAGTCATTATAATTCTGAACTCTGCACAAAAATGATCCTGTTTTTTTTTTTGATGGGTGAAAATGGTATGGTACCCCGCCTGCGCTAATGGGATACGCTGGCGGAGCACCAGTGAAGGGTGATAGATGAGAATGAAAACAGGCCAGTTAGCCCATCATGATGAATTCATCAGGAATTAACCATGATAGTTTCCAGGGAGAACCGCGAGGAGGTCGACCTGGTTGGATATATTGTTAGCAATAAAATTCTCAGTCTCCATTACTAACAATCCCTTTCCCCCCCAAAATGGTCCTGTTAGTTGTGACTATAATTCAGTTTTAACTAAAAACTTTTTAGGTTAAGATTGGTATGTTTACCCGTTGGTTGCTCTCCTTGATCACATTCATAGCTGAGAAATAAATATATATTTACAAAGACGTGTGTCGTTGTGTGCGCCACGGCATAGAATGTGCCATCACTTTTTTTCCCATAGTTGTCGTAAGAGGCGACTAAGGGAGGGCGAGGAATGGGCAGCAGCGTCCCTCTTAAACATCTCTAGAAGCCTGATTGCAGTTGCCAATTCACCTGCCAAATGTGGAAACTACTTGCAAAACTCCCCCAAGGGGGAGGTTTATGTTCAGCAGTTGATTGTTAAAGGCTAAAAGAGTGAAGATGATAGCTTACTTTATGTAAAAGAATTTTTAAAATATGTTAAGTAGTTTTGGAATTTATCTAATACCAACAAACAAATAAACAAACAATTAATCAAACAATCAAAACTTTCCTCTTCATAAAATGTGCATATAGATACAATAGAGCAGAGACTCCAAAAGTGGATTCCGCGTAATCTAGGGGTTCCGTAGAAAAGTGTGCGGATTTTTTTTATGGCAATTTATTTTTGGCTTTTAAATAATACCACAGTTAAGTTCAAATATTATTTCGAAATAGCGCAAAGTATGCGATGAGAAGAAGTTATTACTGTGTACATTATGCAAGCAGGTAGGTAGTTAATGAAAACTCACTTTTAAAATATTTCTAACATACATTTTTGATGTTATTTACATCACAGTGTAGTTCTTTTTTTTTAATGGATGGTAATGGTATGATAACCCCCGCCTGCACTATCGGTATACACTGGCGGGGCACCATAACTTATATGGGTACTACTACCTCCACTAGTTGGAGTGATATCCTCAAATGCATTACAGAGATGTCAGTGAATACAGGTGGCTCAGGACCATTCCCTATGACAGTTCATGGGAAAGGCCTATGATGATGATATGTGTAGCTAGCAACTGCAGTTAGGCTTTGAAGATGTTTTAAAAGGAACTCTGCTGCCAATCCCTCGCCCACTCTAAATCGGCTCTTACGACACCCACGAGAAAAGAAGGGGTGGCCTATTCTATGCCAGATCCACTGCTGAACATAGCCCTCCTCGTATTAGGTGGTTTTTCCCGTAGTCGCCACACTTTGCAAATGGATTGACAGCCATAGTTATGCTTTCGTGATATTTTAAGAGGGGAACTGGACGCTCGACCATTTAGTTCCCTCAATCACCTCTTACGACACCCACGGGAAAGGAAGCGGTGGCCAATTCTATGCCGGGACCACAAGGCATAATTAATAATCCTGTGAGTCGCGAATTAAACCTTTTTAGTAATCCTATTAAGATTTCTCGCTAATTACTCGTATTTCACAATAGACTTGTCGTACAATACGTTCACGCACAAGAACTATGAAGCCTCACATCAATAATGCATCCTGTGAATACTATTCCTGCAAGTTATCTCGTTAACGTTAATTGGCTATGTTAATACGTCCTATGTCGCAGTATTCTAGAACTGCAATAGTAAACATTTCAGAATATGAATTCACTAGTGTTGCCAATAATCGATTGATAATTTAATCGATTGTGTTCAATCGAATTAATCTAAATATTGATAGGTCTATCCATTGCACAGATATTCAGATTAGCTCAGCTAGATTCAAATTGCATGAGAGGGAGACTTTGTACAAAAGTCGTTTGCTTGAGCACCTCTGTCCTATTTGTGTTTCTATGGTGAACCAGTTGTATATGGCTGTGTTTTGGTTTGAAGGGTGAGAAATGGCTGTGAATTTACAGGGTACAGACGAATAACACTTGAGTTCTCAGGAATGGCAACGGTAAGTGGTATAATGGGCGAAACAGTATTCTCTGTTATGTCCATCGTACTGCTCATGTCTATAGACGACGGTTATCACTTTCCATCCTATTGATGGAAAGTCATCAGCTTGAAATCAGAATCATCATTGTCATCAGAATGAAAGGCCATCAGCTTGTTTACTATTCTAAGCTGGATAAAAATATTATAAAAGGATTTGTTTCTTTGTTCACCAGAAACACTTCAACCGATTTTAAGAAATTCTTTTACTTATAGTAGGCTATATTATGAACAATAAAAATAGGCTACATATTATTTTTAAAAATTCTAACATAAAATTAAATAATATTAATTGAATTGACAGTTAGTTTTGTGAATACTATTATATAAATCTTTGGCACGATGTCTCAATCAATCGTCATGGTATTTAGGACAGAATAGGACAAAGTCCACATTTTATCTTGACATGTCAACATATTCCGGTCACGCGATCGGAATTGCTTGTTAAAATTTCTGATTGATACTATTGAATAAATCGATTAACTGATAGTATTTCAATCAATTATTTCTTTTTTATGCAACTTAGAATAGCAAACGAACAGACGGTCCACCGTCGTAACAGCACCGTGAATATAACAGAGTGTTTTGTGTCGTCCATGATACCCCACATGTGTTGCCATTCCTAACAACTCAGGTGTTATTCCTCTGTACCCTATACTTTCACTGCCATATCTTACCCTTTAAGGTGAAACACAGCCATGTGAACACAACTGCTTCACGGAAAAAACATAAATGAGTTTTATTATTTAGATTATATTTAGCTGCACGGTTATTACCCTTGTACACTACAATTTTCTTTCAGCTTCTCAAAGGTTGACTGTAAAAGATCCCTTTATGGGATAAGTCCGCCATTGTATATTAAATATTTTAATGTATTCAGTATGAATTATGTACAATAAGGATTTTACAATACAATCAGACAAAGGTAGCCAAGCAAATGACTTTTGTACAAAGTCTTCCTTTGGTAAATTATTAAATATGATTATTTATTAATAATCGATTTTGACGTGGTAATCGAGTTAGTTTGATTACTTGGGAGTTTAATCGGAATATAGAATCGATTAAATAGTCGATACTCTACGATGAACAGACAACACTAGTTAGCACTCCTTTCACAAACATAGAGTTAGATATAGTATTTTAACTTACATGAAACCTAACTTTAGCTTACACGTGTCACTACTAAATTACTTGCTTTGATGTCACGACGACCTTGGTGATGTAGCGGTTTATTACGACGTCTCACTTATCGAGGGTCGCGGATTCGATTGTCGTACATTATAATCGAATCGAGGGGAAGGGATTGTTAGTAATGCGGACTGCCAGTCCTATTGCAAAAAATATACCTCCATCAGGTTGACCTCCCCGTGAGAGGGGAAAGGAACTGTTAGCAACGGAGTTTGACAGCCCCATTGCTAGCAATATGCCTTATTAGGTCGACGTTCACGTGGTTCCCCCTGGAAACCATTGTGAACAATTCTTGTTGAATTCGTCACGATGGGCTAACTGACCTACTTCATCCTCACCTATCATCCTTCACTGGTGCCCCGCTGGTGTATATCGATAGCGCGGCTGGGGTTGCCATTCCATTATCATCCATTAAAAAAAAGACCGCCCCGTGATCCAGTCTGGAGCCTATCGTGCTATTTTCCAGATATATTCATCATATGAGCTAATTGACCTACCTTTTTTTTCTTACCTATGATCCCTCACTGGTGTTCCGCCAGCGCATACCGTTGACGCGGGCGAGGTTACTATTCT